CACGATTGGCAGCCGCCGCCGAAAATGTAAAAATTATCCTGGCGAAAGACCCAACCATATGCAAACGTGAATACCGCAGGGCAGGTGGGACGAAGCAAAAGGAATTCCCAATGTGGCCACGAACCGTGTGAGGGGTGCGCCACACTGGGGCGGGGCCGCCATGCGAACCCTGCCACTGAGGCCTTCGGTGGAGCTCCCTATGTCCCTGCGGGGCCACGAACCGTGTGAGGGGTGCGCCAATATGGGGCGGGGCCGCCATGCGAACCCTGCCACTGGGGCCTTCGGTGGAGCTCACTATGGGGTCACGAACCGTGTGAGGGGTGCGCCACAATGAGGCGGGGCCGCCATGCGAACCCTGCCCCTGGGGCCTTCGGTGGAACGCCCTATGGGGCCACGAACCGTGTGAGGGGTGCGCCAAAATGAGGCGGGGCCGCCATGCGAACCCTGCCACTGGGGCCTTCGGTGGAACCCCCTATGGGGCGACGAACCGTGTGAGGGGTGCGCGAAAATGAGGCGGGGCCGCCATGCGAACCCTGCCACTGGGGCCTTCGGTGGAGTTCCCTATGGGGCCACGAACCGTGTGAAAGGTGCGCCAAAATGGTGCGGGGCCGTCATGCGAACGCTGCCACTGGGGCCTTCGGTGGAGTTCCCTGTGGGGCCACGAACCGTGTGAGGGGTGCGCCAAAATGGGCGGGGCCGCCATGCGAACCCTGCCACTGGGGCCTTCGGTGGAGCTCCCTATGGGGCCACGAACCGTGTGAGGGGTGCGCCAAATGAGGCGGGGCCGCCATGCGAACCCTGCCACTGGGGCCTTCGGTGGAGCTCCCTATGGGGCCACGAACCGTGTGAGGGGTGCGCCAAAATGAGGCGGGGCCGCCATGCGAACCCTGCCACTGGGGCCTTCGGTGGAGCTCCCTATGGGGCCACGAACCGTGTGAGGGGTGCGCCAAAATGAGGCGGGGCCGCCATGCGAACCCTGCCACTGGGGCCTTCGGTGGAGCTCCCTATGGGGCCACGAACCGTGTGAAGGGGTGCGCCAAAATGAGGCGGGGCCGC